TTACTGGGAATTGACAATTATCTCTCCATTCGGTATCGCTCAAAACTGGGCATTTATCTGTATAGACCATATTTAACAATTAAGTAATTTATAGTGTTTTTAGAGATTATGTGATTTATATTGTATTTAGGGATTTAGACCTATTAGATTTGGTACGATATATGTAATTAAAACTGGATTTATTTTTTGTGTATTCGAAATAACTTATATTAAAGGCTCAATAATATATACAATGGCTGAATTATATGAAAAATTATCCCAATATATAGGCTTTAAGCCTGAAGAGATTCGTCTTCCAATTACAGAAGAAGATAGACAGCTTTTTCAGGAATTAATAGCAGATCAAAGAGGAAATGACAGATATTGTAATGAATGAGTATAGATTTTTGCAACATCATGGACATAATTTTAAAGATGAGAAATTAATACATATAATGTGGGTATATATATGTACTGAAAAAGATGTTGAGAAAGTATTGATAGAGGTACCTCCATCGAAGATATTATCGAGAAAGGTATTGGCCCATATTGAAAAAAGATTCAAAGATTTACCACTTGCACCAGTGATTATAGTCGATTAATTCGATTTATCAACTGCGCAATGCATCTTAATATTCCTGATAATTTTTTATTTGCAATTTTCGTTGCTGTAATCATGACTTACGAATCGTACAACCGAGAATTGTAGTTTAGAGTTGATTCTAAAGAATTTGTTTGTGGCGATATTTATATACAGTATAAATCGCTCGTGTATATATTAGATTTATTTTTGACATATGGAATTTATTTCGAACATGTGGGATCTATTTCGGGTGTATTACAAGCATATGATTTAATTTTCTGGCAATTGGGATGTACGACATCCACCATTTGAGATCGCCCGGTTCGAGATAAACAAATCCGAGATGTGCAATTTTCCTTTATGTTCTTATAATATAGATGCAATATAGGTACGATGAAGGCACGATGAAGGTGTGATTAAGGTGCGATGTAGTCACGATAAACTTTTTTCGTATATAATTGTATGGGAAATAAGTGTATCTCAATTAAGTGGCAACTATTTTGTGAATAGTAGAGCTAGTGACTGAATTTTTTTCATAATACATCATGCAATTTCGACGACGGGCCGTCGCTGAAATTTGATCATGTGATTGTTTCTATATAAAGTTATCATGTGCCATGTATTATGGAAATTTGTATAATTGTTATAATTGTTTCATCACTCTGTTTATTAAATATTGCTTTTCCTAATATGAGCCGACAAAAGAAAAAACCGTACGGTTTCGATGGCAAGTATATGTTTTCTGAAACTGACGCGACTTTCTACATTTACTCACCAATGTTGACCAAATTTTTAGCCTTTAAGTCGTATTTCGCGTGGGCATCAGAGCACGACGTTGATCCGTCTCTGTCAGAGTTTATTCGTTTAAACGTTGACTTCGTAGCTAGATCCTCAGAAAAAAATGACTCTGTAGCATTGCATTGCACGTGGAAAAAGCGTTTTATCTCGGCTGCGGAAATTTTGGGCATCAAGGGAAGTATTCAACCCTCTCGATTTTAGGGAGCTCGCACCAGTTTCGTCCTGACTGCGAGCCTGAGTTTCGTCCTTGCCCTAGTGATGGTGTTGGAAGCTCCAGTTAGTTTCGCCCTAATCTGCGAGTATGAGTTTCGCCCTCACTCCTCACTATTGCGAATCTTGTAAACTAGTTATTAGGAAAACATATTATAACAGTTTGAAAACTGTGAAACTATAATAACAATTTTCAAACCTATGAAAATATAGGTGGTCGAAGACAAACCCAATTGGTCTTATGTCACCGAAAAAATGCATAAGGTAGGTTACAAAATCCCATGGTTGCTCTTGATCAACTTTCCTGTGATTTAAACGTGTCGACATATTGCAGATCCAAATTTCAGAAAGTCGCCGCGAAAAAACTTATATTATGTATTCAAACGAGAACGAGCATGTCGGAAATGAGTTGTTGGAAGACCAGGAAAAATCAGAACTGGATACAAGTAACTCTGCTGATGCAAAAACTACTCGCATTTCTCGACTTACGAAACGGCTTCTAGACGTCGCAAAAGAGAGCCCTCCAAAACGGTTGGCAAAGGTTAGTACTGTGGATTCAAACCCATTGAGAATTTGTTTGTTTCTAATTTTACGAATTTTCGTTTCTAGCAAGTAGTGAAAGATGATTCCAACGATCCTTTCATTATATCTGGAACACTTGATGAACTTGTTGTATCTGGAACATCCGATGGGAACGATTCAGACAAATCCTATCACCCCAGTTCGGATGAGCCAGATGATGATACTTTTGTTGAAATAAAAAAGAGAATCAACTATACTTATGATTGGTTTACGGGACCAGGAATTAAGAAATCTTCATTAAGTGAGGGTGCAAAAAAGGTAACATTTAAGCTTTTATTTAGGTTTATTTAGAAAAGATTTTAATTCTTCCTTATAAATGCAGTGGGTTATCGACACACTCGATGTTTCGAGTTTATTGTTAGAATATCGCGATATGTCTGTTCAACGAGCTTCTGAGAATAAGATTCAAGAGGTTGCTGAAATACTGTAAGTTCTAAATTTCCAAATCTTTTATGCGTTCGATTGTGTTCCTTTTTTAAAATGCTTCTCATTATTGTTGTAGTTCATTGAATCATATATTTTTATTCGAACAAAATGTGACGATTGGGGTTTCTTCAATGATCATTAAACATTATTTTCGATACTATCAAAAATGAATTTGCTCCATATCATTTATCGAATGATGATGTTTTACGGTGTCATAAAATGGCACAGGTATGACTTTTCTGATATGGTCTTAATATGGTGATTATTCATAATAACGTATTTATTAAATAGACTGCAAGCGAAGATTTTAGAAAATGCAAGCCATTATTGAGAAAATGGCAAAAGGATCTTGACGATGATCAAGAAGATTTAATTCTAGAAACGTTCGAGTCAATGTGAGTATCTGTAAGGCTTAAGAATTGTTTATCGCTACTTATTTAACATAATATAGTTTCTATATTATAGAATAAATAATTTTAAACCGGAAGTGTACAGGCAAGGTTTAAAAGAAGATTCCTTTGTACATGAAGTTTTTGAACCTGTGATCAGGCCATTTTTCCGCAACATTAATTTTAAATGTGAATGGTAATTTTTTGACAATTTTTTTTTCTTTATCTTATATTGTAATTATAATGATTTATTAAAATGTTATCAGATTATTTTCAGGTCAACCGATGTCTTGGAAGCGTCTGTACATAGGAAACGTAAATTTGACAGGGACGAAAAGCTGATTTTTCAGTATATTTGCCTATTAGAGGTAATAAATTCTATTTGTTGACTTCGGAAATAAAGTCTGCCGATTTCATTTTATCAAATAAAAATAAAATCTCTTTGGAAGACTGTGATTTTGTAAAATTAGGCAACGAAATGAAGGATATAATTGACAAATGTATTGATGATGGAGTAAAAAGTAATGATTTAATAATTTGTGGTTTATTGGTGGAAGGTAAGTTATTGGCATTTCTTAAAATTACATTAACGTCTGTAATCTAATTTGCCTTTTCCTGCATTCTTGCGACTAGGTTTTCAATGTCGTTTATTTGTTATGGATTTAAAATATGAAGCCATATATCGGATGATTCTTTTGGGGAAAATTTATCTCCCTCGAGATAGTTCTGATCTTGGCGTACTTCCCACTTCAATAGAACGCCTTATGCAAATGAAAGTTAGTATATAATGTATAATATTATTGGATTTTATTTACAATCTAATTTTTATCTTTTCTCCACAAAAGACTATAATGACCCGTTCCACCGAAATCTGCAAAAAAAATATTCACTTATCTAAACGTGAAACAATTCAAGGCAACGTGACTTCAATTAATGAAATGACGCGACCATCTTTTCATACACCAATAAAGGTTCCCCAGAAGAAATTAGTATAATATCTTAATTACATTTATAATATGTTTTTCTGTATAAAATCAATTTTCGATATAGATTTTTAATTGCTTTATTCAATCAACACATGTAATTACAACATCAATTATATCAATGAATAAAATAGTGCGAAGTACAGTATGTGGTTTTGACGACCAAAATTTTGCTACTTTAATTATACATTTTAAATAAATAATAAATATATACAATCTATCATTAAAACATGCAATCTGAAATTGATTCACTAAAACAATGAATTTCTGAGCTTGAAGCCGAAAAGGCTGAGCTTGAGGCCAAGAATGCCGAGCTTTTAAAACAGGTTACGGAAAAAAGTACCAAACGCGAAGCTGAGAATGTTGAGCTCAAAGCTAGGATCGCCAAATTGGAACAGACCGCAGAAGAAAATACTGAGCTTAAAGATAGAATCACGAAATTGGAACAGAAACAGATCCAGGTTATTACTAATGAACAGGAAGCATCTACAAAAGATATTTCGCCACTTATCGAGAGCCATTCTTATGAGGAGAAAGGTATTACTCCCGATCCCTTGCCTGAAATAGAATATAGCTCAACCCAACCTGAATCTTCAACGGAGCCTGAAACATCTACAACTTCTTTATCACAAGATATTATCCATGACGATTCAGCTGAGATCCTTGATTTTGTAGAAACGATACATAAGGAAAGGATTAGTAGTGAGATAAGAGAGAGGAACCGGGAAAAAAAACTTCAAGAATCACATAATAACTCAACTCCACCAATACAATCTGAAGTATCAACCATGTCGACATCTGAATCTCTGGACTCGAAAACTGTGAAAAAGCTTTGGGATCAGAACCAAAATAAAAACCAGGACAAAATATCTCAATCGCACAAGAAAAAGGGAACAGAGAATATCACTCATGTGATAGCTGATGGCATTCAGGATAATATTATTTCAGATTCAAATTATGTGACTGAAATTTCAGCGACGGCCCGTCGTCAAAATTCTGATACAATCTCATTACTCGATTTAGTGCAATTATTTGATAAAGCAACTAATGCTGAATATTATGCTACAAAAGCTAACCAGGAAGAAACCTTATGCTGAATTAACTATGGAAAAGAATTCGTAATTCAGTATAATGATCTTATAAAAAATAGTAATAGCAAAATTGGCGAGAAAAAGGCAAAGGGTATAATTTATGATAAAATATTAGAGCACCTTACTATTATCCGTGAAAAAAGATCTAAGGAAATGGGATTACAGCTTCCAGAAATCTCACGTAAAATATTATGTAGAAAAATCCAAAGAGCTATAAAGACTTATAAATTATTCGAAAAAATAGGTATAGATAAAATTAAATATTTTAAAGCATACAGTGCAAATTCTATTTCAGAACTGACCAACGATCAAATCCAAAAGATTATCAATAATATTTCTGATTATAATGAGTCTAATATAGAAAATCACATGAGTGGAATTTTGACGACGACCCGTTGCCAAAATCATGTAACCGAAATTTTACCTAAGGTAAGTACACCCGTCAAATCTCAAACCTCTAACTCTTCTGTGAAACTAAGATCTTACCAGAAACCAAGGCGAGTGAAGAAAGTATATCATCTACATCTCAACTCGAGAAAACTTTACCTGAAAAGCAAAATAATCCGGTTTATTCCTGTGTAAGTTTTCGTAAGAAAGTATTAGATCAATATCTCGATCTATATTATGAATTTAGTAGTGAAAATATTGATTACTACAGAATCACTGACGAGACATTATGTTCATTATGCAATTTAGATTATGATGATGATGAAGGTATAGAAGGAAAATATAAAGATGGATCTTATTACATTAGATGTGAAAAGCATGAAACTGAAATAACCGCATAAACTTTACTTATATTTTATTACTATGCAATAATGCGTGAAACAGAGCACATTTATTTAGCGGAGCTAGTACAAGGTGCTAATATTTTTTTATGCATGTGAGTGTTCCTCATCCAATGTGGGATTTAAATTAATTTGTGATCCTATAAAATGACAATATGAATGCGTTAAACTTGCAGATCAACTTTGATAAATCTCTACGAAGCATGATACTTTGTGTCTAACCCCCAAATATTTGGATTGGCAAGCCAAATTAATTGGCATTTTAACAGATAAAATTTGTTCCAAGTTATATAAAAGATATAAGAAAGAAACTGGGCTCGATCCCTGGATAAAGTCTGAAAATTCGGAATTCTCACAAATTGAAGAGGGTAGTTATACCCCACAGAATTGCGTTATCAAAATTTTCAAGTTTCCAGAAGAAAAAAGTATAATCCTTGAAACAGTACATAAACGCTTCCCTTTCTTGTCTTACACTAAATCGAATGCATGGTACCGAGATGTATTTAAATATACCAATTCAGAAGCTAAATGTCCGGTGTGCAAAGATGTACATACATGTTTAGGTATATGGGATGACTGGAGCTGTCTAGGTAAAAATGATCATTATTTTCTTAATTGCCCTTTTCGTATCAATCAAAAGAAAGTTATTATTGCCATACAGAGTTTGCCGGAAACTCAAGTAAGAGTACCAAACAAAATCAGTAACTCATCAATTCATCCAAACAAAACCCGCCTTTATCAATATGCCATTGAACATGAAATGGATCCTGAGAAATTTTCGGTCATTACTGAGGCTGAGAAAAATAGATGGGCCATGGGGTGTTTTTCTGCTGACTTGGAAAGAGATATACGCCTTTATCGTGGAGGAATAAAAAGGAGCGAAGATACCAGAAAATATCATAAATTTTTAACAGATCGGGATAGGCTGATTGGTGAAGAGTTATTACGTCGCAGTATATTAAAGAGTGGTTTAAGTACTACATGGCTAGACGATCTGATGAAAGAATGGGAAGAAATTCATACTCAATTCGTACAAATTTTTAGTCAGATATAGCGAGATCCAGAGGTCTCTTACACATCTCGGATGATGATTATTTATTTAATACAGTAGGCAATTACGTATGTTACATGAACTTCTATGTCAATCTCACTGATAATAATTTCCTGGTTTAACGATTACTTCGTTCTAATTGGCTTATTTTTACGATGTTTTCGGATAGGAGAGACAACTTTTTTTCTTTTTAATATGAACACGATTCTTTCGGGATTTTATTGGATCGAGATCATACCAGTCTGAACCTGTGGATTCCGAATTGGAGCAGGATGAACTAGTCTCTATATCATTTTCTATAGAATGAACAGACTTCCAAATATTATTGAGGTGCGTTTTGATTGAAAGTTTTCCACATC